TCGACGGTTCGGGACGGGGCCGCCACGCCCACGTCGTACGACGACGACGGACGCCGCCCGGACCCGACCCGAACGTCCGTCCGGTGGGTCGGGGTCGCGGGGCAGTGGGGGAGGGGCGGGCCAGGAGCCTGGGGAGGGGCCCAGCTCCCCACCCTGAAGGGCTCCACAGGCGGGGCCCCTTACATTCCGAATTCGGTCCCTTGGTGCTGCCAGCACAGGTGGCCAGGTCACTGTACAGCAGAGCAGGAACCCTGGGGACCCCTGCACACACACGCGCACACACACGAAGCTGTCTGTCCATCTGTCCACCTAGACCAGGTCTCAGGCCTGGGCCGGTGGGACCCAGCGGTCTCGGCACACGAGCAGCAGCACGGTGGGCTGGGGTCCATTCTCACATTGATGGAGGCTCGGCCCGCAGGCCGACAGCCCTTCACGTCCGCGAGGCCCCGCTGCCGGGTGGGGCCGGGGGCAGCAGGTCGTGGGCAAACACGGAGTCATCCCCCGAGGAGCTGGAGCTGGGCGTGTCCTGGCCACCCGGCGAGTACTGCTCAAAGGGCACTGACAGGTCCAGGTACTCCTATGGGTGGGTGGTGGGCTGTGGTCAGTGCTGCAGCCCCTGACCCAAGCCGTCCGTCCCTGGTAGGTGGAGCGGGGCTAGCACTCACGTCAGTGGACGTCACTGTGAGGACGCGGTCCAGGTCCTCCACCAGCTGCTTGAAGGTGGGCCTCTGTGAGGGCGCGGCGTGCCAGCACTCTCTCATGATCATGTACCTGGGGGGGCGCTCAGGTAGGATCTGCCAGGGGCCTGCCCCACCGCCCCACCACCCCACCTCTCCTCAGAAACGCCCTTCCGGCCTCGGCCTCTGCCCTACCTAGGGCTGGGCTCCATGGGGGCCCAGGGATGCCGGCGGGAACCCAGAGGACAGGTGCCGAGAAGTGGGGGTGGGGTAGGGCACTCACAGGTCATGTGTGCAGTTGGCTGGCTTGTCCATGCGGTGGCCTTCTTTCAGCAGCTTGAAGAGCTCCTCCACGGGGATGCCAGGGTATGGCGAGCCCCCCAGTGTGAAGATCTCCCAGAGCAGGACCCCAAAGGACCAGCTGTGAGGGGTGGGGGTGTGGCACCGTCAGCCTGCCCTACCCTGGAACAGGCCCCGCTGGAAGGCAGGGGCGGGCTGCGGGGGCTCCCAGTGGGGCCCCGGCTCTGCTCCTGCAGCTTTCCTGACTCCTGCCTGTCCTGAAGTGGCCTGAGCCCTGCCCCCGCCCAGGGCCTGGGGGCCACATACACGTCACTCTGGTGGGTGTAGACTCGGTCAAACAAGGCCTCGGGCGCCATCCACTTCACAGGGAGCCGGCCCTAGGGGGAGGAAGGGGGCATGTTGGCTGCCAGGTTCCCTCCAGGCTGGGGCCCCGACCCTCCCTCCGCCAGCCGCGCTCACATTGGTGGTTTTTTTGTAGTAGTCGAGGTTGTGCACGTCGCGGGCCAGGCCAAAGTCCGCGATCTTCATCACGTTGTCCTCGGTCACCAGCACATTGCGGGCCGCCAGGTCCCTGTGGATACACTGGGGGCGGGGTAGGGCGGGGGTGGGGCTGAGGCCATCGGCCAGCCGCTCCCTCTGCCCCCTGCCGGGCCCTCCTGGGCCCCTGCTCTGCACCCGCCTGCCCAGCCTGTTCACCTTCTGCGAGGCTAGGTACTCCATGCCCCGTGCCACCTGGTAGGCGCAAGACACCAGGTCCTTGAAGGTGAGCTGCTCCTCGGGCAGCCGGCAGGTGTCGAAGGGGTAGTCCGTGCCCGGGGGCCGCCGCGCCCGCAGGTACTCCCTCAGGTTGCCCTTGGCCGCGTACTCCACCAGCACGTACAGGGGCCCTGAGAGCACAGGCACCTCAGAGGGGCCCCGCCCCAGGACCGTCCCGGCCCCCGCCCCCACCCCGGGGCCCACACCTACCGCCCTGGGTGCAGGCGCCCAGCAGGTTGATGATGTTCTTGTGTCTGCCAATCATCTTCATCATCTCCATCTCGGACACCAGATCCGACAGGTCCTTGTCTGTGGCGTCATCTGTGAGAGGAAGGCAGGCACATGAGGCAGTGCTGCCCCACGGGTCCAGGCCCCCTCGCCCCCTCCCTCCCTCACCTTTCAGCATCTTCACCGCCACGGTGACGGGCTTCGCAGCTCGGTCTTTGTCAATGCCAATGGCCTCCGCCATGACTACCTGGCCGAAGCAGCCTTCCCCGAGGGGCTTGCCCAGGGTCAGCCTGGCAGCAGAAGCAGAGCTGTAATGAGCACTCCCACGCGCTCAAGGACCTGTCCCAGGCCACCACCTCCAGGAAGCCCTCCTCACTTGCCCCTGTGACCTAGCTCATGACAACAAAGGACACTAGCCCCTGGCCTCTTGGCCTGTGAGAGCACTTTCTTGGGGTGGTCCTCCCAACTACTGGCCG